TCCGGTTGTTGTCTCCAGACACAAAGAGTGCAAGGAAACATACCCCACTTTGTTGGATTTGGCTACAATGTTTTCTAGTGCGGGCATGTCAAACAGAGAGTCCCCAGAGGCCCATACGGGTCAGTTTTGTTGTCAAAAGGGCCTCACGCGACAACTACTTGAAGTCATTAAATCAAACAAAAACTGTTACAGAACATTCCCTAGGTGCGAGACGCAGTTTTTACATGTCTTTTTTAGTCATTCAGATAATTGCACTTCCAACTTCTCAACAAACGGATCATCCCATAGCTGCACTGTTTCTGTGCCAAGGAAAACTACACAGAATCCCCCATAGTGCAGCCGCCCCCTCTCTTGTGAAAACAAAAACTGACACAACTTGCAGTTTTAGAAAATCCAACAGCATTTGATATGAGAAGAAATTATAATAATAATAATAATTTATCAGTTATACGAACTTATGAAACTGAACATAACAATAAAAGATAAAAAAAAAGAAGGAAAAAAATTACCTAATAATGAGAATAGTTAAAAAGAACTCTTGAAAGTCTATTGTAGGCACTTTATGTGTGTGTGTATATAAATATAAATATATATTACGGCTGTACGAATATTCGCTTTGTATTCGCTTCGTGACCGACTAATGGACCTATCGGTATTCGGCCGAATAGTTGCGGTCGGGCCGAATACGAATAGTAGTTACCTTACACCCGCTTCTGCATACACGACCTTAATGCTGACAACATGAAACGATTGGTTTTGTTGAAAGCCAATGCAGCTTTCATGCATTAACTAAGCTATCAGTGACAATTTCCAAGTTTAGTTACTGTTTATAATACTTAGGATTTTTTCATTCCTGGTTATTAGTTACCACAGACTGACTGAAGGATAAAAAACATAAAATGTTTTTAAATGTTTACTATTCTGTACGAATGCTAACTAGACATGGAAAGAATATAAACTCCGGCCACATCCAAGTTGATAATATGAAAATCAAAACGGAAACAATACGTAACTGTTTACAAACTTTAAAGTCCAACATTGAGAGAAGAAATACAATCTAGAAATAAAACGCCCTTCAACACGGCTTAAAGTCAAAGTGTCTGCTCGCAAAGAAGATATAATAAAACGTTGATAAGGACCAGTCGTTTTAATCTATTTGAAACAGAAATAACGAGATGAGGCCTTATTACTATGAAAATAGTTCTTCAAAACCACTCCAAGATGCTTAAGAAATGGAAAGTGCTGTCAATCGCACCATTGACACATATGAGAGCTAAATCAAAACGTTGATGTCAATGACAGACCAGTAAAAACTGTTACACTATGGCTCTGAAACCAGACCTGAAGTCACAAAGAAATAAAAGAGATGAATGGAGACGAGGCCTTATAACAGACTATTCTTTTCTAGTAAATAGTAACTTATGGATGTGTTTTTCACTTTTCACACTATTCGTATTCGGCCGAATAGTTGGTCCCGTTATTCGTATTCGGCCGCATAGTGAAAATCACTATTCGGTACAGCCCTAATATATATATATAATGAGACCACTGCGGACAGGGTCCCGGAACACAGCCGAGGACTTTACAATTTCATGAGAACATGAAACAGTAGGTTTCACTGTCACCTTTATGTGCTTCCTTTTGCTTTTCTTTTAGTTCACCCCACCTCGGAGACGATAGAATTTCGCAGACAGTACCGGGGAGAAGGAGGAGGGGGAGGGGGGGGGTCAGGTTAGTGTTAGTCGGTGTTACTTTTCACACCCTAAACACCCCAATACTAATGGACTTTACCGGAAAACTTCACTAGGAAATCTCAGAGTCCCTGAGATTGTGGTGAATTAAAAGACACGAACCGCTTTCTTGAATGAAGTAGACAAGTAAAGCACTCGTCTTTCTACCAAAGACAAAGCAGGTATATCATGCCGGACACATCTTTATCAGCCAATCAGCACTGGGCAGGTGATGTGGTCAGCACGGGGTATACACTTCCCCCTGCTTCCTTTAAATCAGTGGTCTCCAAACTGGGAGGACGGGTGGCAGGAAGTTTCAAGGGGAGGGGGGGTCCACGCATTTTTTTATTGAGCTTATTTGTATTAATCCAATACACTCCCATTCTCCAACGGTTTAGTCTTCTTCTTCTTCGCGTTCAGCAGCTGTACACTCTGGCGGAAAGTTCTGGTTGCTCGTCCACTACTGGACTGCAAACCTGCTCCAGAACCTGAGTGTTGCGTGTGCATCAGTTTTACAGATCTCATTCTCTTGAATGCAGACTATTGGTTCCTTGCCTCTCCGGCAGATGCACTCCGACTTTAAAGGAAGCTCCACAATTAGTCGACTCTTACGACATGCTTTTTGGGAGGCAGTGGGTCTATTCTTGTTTTCCCCACAATGGGGCCCCGGAACCCACACGGGGACCATAGTTTAATGATAAATGAAATATTCTGTAAAACTACAAAACAAAATAGCCAATGACGTTTTTGTGTTCAGGGGCAGGCTGTACATCTACTGATGAAAATCTAATATGATAACACGTGCAATTAGTTATAGATTAAGATCACATTCTGATTGTTTCTTGTGATATCTGGCACACTAATTTATATGGATGTTAACAGTGCTTGGGAGTGTCCTCGTTCTAAACACACTTTGTTATGTTTCGGGCATGGGGTGGGGTGGGGGCACCATCTAAAAAAGGTTGGAAACCACTGCTTCAGATGCTCTGGTTACACAAAGACAAAAACTAAAATAATTATAATAATGAATCAGGAGATGTTAAACAGGGAGATAACACAGAAAACCGCTTTAAAAAGGGGGAAAAATGTTGTGTGGCAATTTCGCAATTGGAAGCTACCCAACAGGAAACATTATTCCTGTCTACTGGATTAAAAACAGCCCACGTTATTTAAACAACCCAAAAAAAAATACACAACAACGTCAAATACAAATATAACATTTAAAAACAACTATCTACTGCGTTTCTGCTTGTTAAAGAATGTAAACTGGACTCTAGTCCATCTTTCGAATCTTCTGGGTTAGAAGCTGTTTGACTCTCACCATTCTCTTCCTAATCCTGTAGAGCAGTGTTTTCACAACGTTTCTTAGTCACAGCGCCTTATTTTAATTAAAATGTTACCACAGAGTCCTAACCTAAGTAAAAGTGTGATTATTCGTATGTAATAGATTTTAAAAAATGTAACTCCTGTATCTTCGAATATTTCGCGGCGCCCCTGCCTAGAGGTCGCGGCTCCCCGGGGCGCACAGTTTCCTCACTGCTATAGAGGGCAATCCTGTGAGCAAAACTTTTTGTCGGTCGCGTGTGAGCGTGGTTTACAATTAGGTCGCAATATCTGGGCCTTGGGGCCCTAACACATCTGATTTCAGTCCACTCTCTAATCCTTTCAACTGTTATTCTATGCTTATTATGAGTGAGTGGGTGTCACAAAATGCCTTTTTTAACACTTTAAAATGTTATTCCACAGAGTCCTAACCTAAGAAAGAAAGTATGATTAGCCAATTCATCATTCATTCAGTAGCATGTCCCTCGCGGAACCCTATGCCTGCCATACCAACCCTCCGGAAAACCTTCCTATCCTGAGCAAGATGTCCTGCGTCTGATACACCCATCTGGAGATCATCTGCCACATCCTGCACCCATCTTTTCCTTGGCCTTCTCTTCCTCTCTTCCCAGCATACTACCCCTCCATTATTGTTCTCTCTAGACTTCCATGGCGTTTCAAGTGACCAAAATATTTCAATTTTCTTTGTTTTATTGTCTTTACTAGCCAACCCTCTTCAATATTCAGCTCTTGAAGTATGGATGCATTTGTTCTTTTCTTTACCCAAGATATTCTTAGAACCTGTCTGTAACATTTATATTCAAAAGCATTTATGCGCTGTTCCGCTTGTTTAGTAAGTGTCCAGGTCTCACAGGCGTATGTTGCAATGGGAAAGATGCATGCTCTTAAAAATCTGACCTGTGTAATTCTATCTGTACAATTCCATAATTTATTCAGTTGTTTTAGTCTTTGAAGAGCAATTGATAGTCGCCGTTTCAATTGCTCTTCAAAGTACGATTATTCCTATGTAATAGATTTAAAAAAATTTAACTCCTGTATTTTCGAATATTTCGCGGAGCCCCTGCCTAGAGGTCGCGGCTCCCCGGGGCGCACAGTTTGGAAATCACTGCTATAGAGGGCAATCCTGGAGCAAAACTGTTTTTTCGGTCGCGTTGTGGTGTGGTTTACAATTAGGTCGCAATATCTGCGCCTTTTGCCCTAACACATCTGATTTCAGCCACCCTCTAATTAGTCAACTTTTTTCTATGCTTATTATGAGTAAGTGGGTGTCACAAAATGACACCTGAACACTTGCTGCAAGAATATTCAACTTTTTACCGAAGAAAGAAAATTATATTAGCCAATCATCATTATCATCACTTCTCTTTATGCTTAGTTGCACTTGAGGTTTCAGCGAGGACTTTCCATGCTTTCCTGTCCTGTGCAATCTTCAGTGCAGTTTTCCATGTCAAAGACGCCGCACTCAGGTCACTTTCCATCGTTCATCTCCATATTGTTTTTGGGCGCCCCTGTTTTCTCTTTCCCTCTGGTGTCCATGTGAGAGCTGTTTTGGCAGGTATATTAGGATTCATTTACATAACGTGGCCAAGCCATTTCCATCTCCTCCTGGTTATCATACTGTCTAAAGTTTCTTGGTTTGTGCCCTGAAGTAGTTTAGTGTTTGAGATTGTATCTGGCCCCAAAAAAATTTGATAATTCTACGTAGACAATATTATTAGCCTATATCAGTGCCTTTTAAGGACAAGTTGATACAGCAAAACTCACAAAAGCCACAAATAGTAAAGACTCAAACTGCACAAATTCATACAAGAAAATACAAACAGCAAAATTTCAACAAGAAGATACAAACAACAAAATCTCACAAAACACAACAATTGGCATACAGCAGCCACTCACTCAAACAAGACGCAGACAACAAAGGCTCACCATAATGCTCCTTGCCCACGTCCCCGTCGGGCAGGTACTCATTCTGATACTCCAGCATGACATCCAGCCAGGCCTCCTGCTCCGCCTGGGTCTCGGTCAGGACAGTGAAGCTGTCAGGCACCGTGTACAGCACTATCCCAAACCGGCCTGACCGACTGTCCTTTTTCTTGTTGATGTTGAAGCAGGTGTATAAATGGATTGAACGTTTCGGTAAAGATCCGGACTGGAACTTTTTCTCGTTGTCGTAGTACTCCAGTCTGGCAGGACCACTGGAGCTTGTCGAGCGGAGGACAAAGAACTTTTTTTTCATTGTCTGGAGACGGGAAAGAATAACAGACGTGAGCTGGCGGGTTAAAACTGTAATAGATATCTCGTTATAGCCAGGAAAATACATAAAACAAATTCACAAGATAAATACATTCATGTAAATTAGGTAACTGAACGAATGAACCAAGAACTGACACCCCTACACGCGCTACGTCCCTCTCCTCAGCAGCCAACAGAGTTCCAATTCTGCTTGTGTCTGTTGAGATGTGATTAAAAGATCGTTGTCTTTTCCCTGCGAGTAATATTAGATGACATCCACAGTTAGAGTACAGAAAGAAGCAGAATATACAGACACACTATAAACTAAAACAACACAAAGTGGGAGGGGAAAATGGGTTGAGGAAAGACAACACAGTGACAACGGGGATGCAAACCTACCGAACCCAAATGATTACAAAGCGTGGTTATAAGAACAAGTGTTATGCACTGTAGAAGAAACGTTTCTACGTCGTATTTTATAGACCAATCAGCACTGAGTGGGAAAGGCTGTTGGCTTTACGTCGGCCGTCTTTACTTTCCAGGACTATATCTGGTACCTACTCAAGGCTGGGTCAGTTTTTCAAGGTAAGACCAACTAAACAGCTCTATCTCTCAGACACACACACACACACACACACACACACACATATGGATATGGGGAGGTGACTTCAGTCGCCAAGACTACCGTCCACTAGATCACCCCGACCCCCCCTATGGGTTCTGGGGCCCCATTAGAGAAGATGTGATATACTCCCTAACTCTAACTCGTGTGTCGTGAAAGGTGACTATGGGTTTGTTGAAATAGGACGTGTTGGAAAGAAAGGTGCAGATATCGCAGCCTAGCTGTACAGTATAACATAAAATAGCAAAAAGTCTTTTAAGAGCTAAAGAAGAAGCAGCAGAATCATTCCTTAATGAAGCGGTTCTCAACCTGCCTAATGCCGCGACCCGTTAATACAGTTCTTCGTGTTGTGCTGACCTCCCAACCATTAAAAAAAATTTCGTTGCTACTTCATAACTTTAGTGAATGTGTGTTTTCCGATGGCCTTAGACGACCCATGTGAAACAGTAGTTCGACCCACAGGTTTGGAACCGCTACCTAGAGCAAACCAATAAATATGGAGAAGGAACAACTTAAAACACACACCATAACAACCGATGACCTACAATTATGGAATGGGAACTCCCTGTGTGCATTCCGGGCCCCATTCGGCAGTTAGATGGAGGTGGGGGGGGGGAGGATAAACAAACAGCCCTCTTCATAGTGGGGGGGGGGGGGTTAAAAACACACCGCCCTCTCAGGGGGGGGGGGGGGGGGGGGGTAAAACACACCGCCCTCTTCACGTGGAGGGGGGGGAGGGGGGTAAAAACACACCGCCCTCTCCATAAACAAGTTAGTCTTGTGTCATTGAGAAACAAAGCCAGCATCTGGGGGGGGGGGGGGGGTGGATTTAGTGATTTCACTAGGTAAATTAACGTTCAGTATTCTAGCACTGTTCTCAGTAGTCGGCTCTCAATACCACTGTTAAAACCAAAATAAGGCAGTCTGCTGTCGAGTCGCTCGCAGCTAGGATTGAACTGGGCATATGGGATTATGAAGCGCCTTCACAAGCACCTGTCACAGAGGCCAACGAAAAGTGCGTGGGGGGGGGGGGGGGGGAGTTGGGACGTGTCTAAGACAGGTGTTCTTACAACGTAATACAAAGACAGTAGTGAGTACACCTGGAAGACAGCACAATTGGTGGGTTGTTCAATCAATCATCAGGTGCCGTTTACACAATGAAGGTTGGCTGCAATGGATCTCCAACAAGCCCTGTCTCTTGCCCTTGATGTACACTCACCCATACTGCGGTTCGTCCATCTCTTGATGTTATCTTCCCACTTGTAACGCTGTCTGCCTTTTTGCACGCCTACCTTGAACCTTTCCCTCTAGAATGATCTTTACAATACGGTTGTCTTTTAATGTGGCCAAAATATTTCACTTGTCTCTTTTTTTATTTCACCTAGCAACTCTCTTTTCATTCCCAATTTCCTCAGTACCTCTGTATTTGATAGCTTTTGTTTCCATGAAATACGACCTAATCTTCTGTATATCCACATCTCCAAAGAATGGATACGATTTTCCAGTTGTTTGTTCATTGTCCATGTCTCTGTGCCATACAGTAAGGTTGAGAATACATAACATTTGACAATTCTCATTTTTAATGTATTGCTTATTTCTCTTGATGTCAGAAACTTTTGCATGTTGTTGAAAATGTTTTTGGCCATCCCTATTCTTTTCTTGACTTCTGTTTCACTTCTGCCGTCACATGTTATTACTTATCCAAGATATAAGAAATTTTTAACTTGTTCCAATTTCACCCCGTTCACTGTGATATTCATTGTTAGCTGATTTTTATTTGGCTAAATATCATGGTTTGTCTTTTTCAAATTTATATCTAATCCAAATTCTGCACTCCTTCTGTTTACTTGCTCCACTAGGTCTTGCAACTCCTGCTCAGTCTCTGCTAGTAACACTGTGTCGTCAGCATATATCAGATTGTTTCATGGGTTGTTGCTTTTGTTTAAAAGTCAAATCAATTTCTAATAATATTTTTAGACATCCAAGACAGAGCGATAAAGTTTTGTTCCGCTTCTGAAGACGTCATCACCAGCTCTAATGTCCGTCACGGCTGAAAGACCAGCAAAACAATCCAAGTAGGCGCACAGAAACAATTGTGGAGTGAGTAAACAGGATGTTGGGGCCTACAATGGGCATGTGTGGGAAGACCTGATACCTGCAAGCGTCATCAGGTATTGCCTACCTGAGTCCTCCTAGAGGAGATTAAAGATAAAAAGCTACAGTAGGATGTGTTACCAACTTTTAGGCTGACTTCATTTTTTTTTATCAGCAAACCTTGTGTCCTGGTCCTCAAGGGTGAAGCGTGGGGCCGACATCCCCACCTTCGTAAAACTTTATCTCGTCGCGGAACATATATCTAAGCCTAGATTTCGGATGGATAAAACAGTGATAAGACCAGCCGTGTTATGTGGCTCTGAAACTTGGAGCACAACTAAAAGAGATAAAGCCTTATTAGAGCTTTACGAAAACAGAGTCTTTCGACGAATCTGTGGACCCATCAAAGATGCAAACAGCGGTGAATGGAGAGTGAGAAATAATAACGAAATTCATAATCTGATTTAAATCAGCATTGATTACTGGCGTAATGAGAGCTAATAGACTGAAATTGTTGGGACATACTGAAAGAATGTCAGATGACAGAGAAGTAACAACTGTATACACCAGGGAGATGAATGGTCGTGGACCACGAGGGAGACCAAGAAGACGACGGAGAGATAATATCCAGACAGACCTGCAAACACTTGGTGTTACCAACTTGAAAGAGAAGGCTAACCAGAGAGATGAATGGAGGCGGGTGATATCTGCAGCAATGAACCTCAAGGGATCGGAATGCTGAATAAAATAATAATATAAACCTAATGTGTTTGCGTCTATGTTTAGGGTTCAATATGTATCCCGATATCTTTGCTTGCTGATAAAGCCTCTTGTTTTTTCTTTATCGACTAAGACCTTTCGTTCTTTCGCAGAGGACCACTTTGTCTTTGCTGATAAAATCTTTTGTCATTGTTTTCTTTCAGAACTGTATAATCTCACCCACGCCGCCCACCATTTAATCAGTTTGCTGCTGTATTCACTTGTTAGAGCTAGCTTTAAGAAGTTAACAATCCACATTATTTTAGCTCATAAATGCGAGTGAAAGAGTCAGGGCGACCGAGAGAGAGAGATAGAGAGGGAGATTAACACCATGACATGCCGACATATTTCTACATGCAATGTCTGGTAATATGCCAGGTATTGCATGTGATTAAAACAACGCAACCAGCAGTTACAAAAGAGGGATAAGGAGGAGGAGGAGGAAGAAGAAGGTCTAGTATATAGTTTGTCCACACATCTATCTGTGCTTGTGTGTGGCTAATGATTGTTCACTACATTAACACCCGTCAACTGTGTGTGTATGTGTGTTCTATAATCTCCCATATGGTTGTTGTGTTGACGGTTGTTGTGTCGACAGGTGTGGGCAAGCTGTTACTACTAATAACAGCACCCCTCCCCCCCCCCCCCATTTTGCTCCCCATACTTATGTGGTCTTGTTGACACTGTGCTACTGGGCGATAGGTATTGAATGTCGGCTATAGGCAACGAGCAAACGAGGACGGTCGAGACCAGGGTTTCTCAATGCAGGAGTCGGTCGTGTAGCAGAGCAATATGTCAGGGGCAGCCCGTACATATCACTACCGTTTAAGTCTACTAATTAGAGGTTTTCATTGGACGTTCCAAGTGCATCTGCCTGAAAGGACGAGCCACTAAGAGTCTGAATACAAACCAGATCTGTAGAATGGATGAGCACGAAAAACACGAGATCAGAGCCGATTATTATATGCAATGGACTAGCGACCACAAAGAGGTACTGGCCTTCTCAAGATGTGGGTAGAAAACAATTATGGGTCGTGTTTCACGGGCAAAAACAATCACACACACAGAGGTTCCAAAAAAAGACTAGGTATGACCATAGAATGGCAGAACCATTTAAAAAAAATGCGTCGACAATATTAAAAGACAACACTTATTTTTTTTAAAAAAAAACACACACAACTGAAGTGACAAGAGAAAGGCAAGCACGCCAGCATGAGGCAGTCAATGATACAGGGTGGTGGGAGGAGGATGGCAAGTGGCTGGTAAGCTGTCAATTCTCTGTAGGGCTAGATTTAAAATGTTGAAACCTGCAACCTCTAGTAGGGCAAGATATCGTTTTCATTTATTAAAATGGTGATCCCCCTTTTCCCCCCCCCCTCTAAACCAGCCAAAAAGTAGCAGATCTGAATGTTCTGGTTGTTCATCTACTTCTGGTCTGGTATCATTCCATCTTAGGTGTTAAGGCACAGATCTGGCCGACTTCTAGATATATATTTGCTCCCTCGACTCTCAAACAGATACACTTCCAAAGC